GGGTAATGGGTAACTCCTTGAGTGCTTCCAGGCAGCGCCGCACCGGCTGCAGCGTGGCAGCAATTTAGCTGGATGCGGGCAGGATCGGTGCCAGGCATGTCCCGCTCTGCGCAGCATCAGCCCATGAGGGCCAAGAGAAACAACGCAGCCCTTCCTAGAAATGCGCTCTGGAGCTTAAAAGATGGACCTAATTGAAAAAATGTATCGAGGTTGTACCAGGGGATAAAAAGGGAAAGCCGGGCCGAGATTAACCTGGAGTTCAGCGAGCCGGGAAGCGCGGCAGCCGTGGCCAGGTTCCTAAGCCAGTTCCCCGCCACGGCCTCCCAGCCGCCCGCTGAATCCATGCCCGGCAGGGAGGTGGTTTGCTCTGGATGCAGGTCTGGCAGGAGAGCCCGGCTCGCTCTGGTTTTGTGCTTCAGGTACGTGTGCGTTTCCCGCTTTGCTTCCTCCCCACCGCCGCAGCAGCTCCGGGCTGGCCGGTGAGGGCCGCTGCCACGGCCCGGTGGATTTTCTTTGGGGGTGTTTGCTGCCTGCACGGTTCGTGCTGGTTGTTCCGTTGGTCCTGCCAAGAACCTGTGCTTCGGGAATGCTGGAGCTGCTCCAGTTTCCCCGGAGTCTGAATCTTCAGCTGCTTCCTCGTGACATCCTCCTCCCTTCCCGTGCCTGGCATCCCCTCCGGGTGCCGCTCGCCCGCCCGGGGTGGCTGCGAGCCTCCCCCAGCATGCAGCTCCGGGAGGGAGTTTCTTTTCCCACCTCCAGGCTTCAGCAAGTCCCATGCAATATCCCCTTCTAGGAAAATTTCTGAGCCAGGCTGGAACGAGCCCTTTGCCCTGCTTGGACCAGAAGAGACGCGGGGCAGAAGCGGGGAGCAGGCGGCCTCGTCGCTGCGTTAGCACAGAGCCAGGCTGACGTGTCACCTGCGTTAGCAGACCCTGGGACTGGGTGACCCAGAAAGCTGCTTCCCCTCCCTCTTTTCTAAAACAAGCCCAGCTGGTGTTTGCAGGAGCAGCTCCTTCGACGGGAGCCAGCAGAGCAGCTCCGCAGTGGGCTCTCCAGCCAAAGCTTTTCTTGTGGCCGGTGTTTGCAAAACACGTCCCTCTCCCTGTGGTTCCTCTGGCGTCTGGGAAGCCGTGAGCTCACCCTGCCTTTCCCCTTCCAGTGAAGTTGGGAGGCTACCCTCTGTCCTCACCCCCTCGTCGGTGCTTCAGCCCCCTCCACCCTCCTCTGTGCCAGGGCAGGATGGGGCTGGTGGGTTGGGCCTCGCTGAGCACAGGGAGAGGAGCAGCCCAGCTGCCAGAACTGGAAACCAGTCACCAGGCAGATCAGAGGGACCACCCAGGGTGGTTGCCTGGTCTGGAGAGACAAGTCTTCACCCGAGGAGGTCAGCCAGCCCTTACTGACCCACCAAGGAAGCTTTATGAGCCTGTCTTCTTCCTCCCCCTGGTCTGCTGGCTCTTGGTGGGGTTTGGCCAGTTGCCCTGATGCCACAGCCCTGCCCTGCCATGGGCACCAGGAGCTCCTGGGAGGGACATGGAGCAGAGCAAGGCTGCATGAGGGTCTTGTGGTGCCCATGGAAAGGGGATATCTGCCCCATGGGGCCGCTCCTGCGCTCAAGACTCTGATCTGCCCAACGCCGGTCACCCGGGAGCTTTCTCCAGTGGTGAACAGGGCTCCACGCCCAAGGGGCTTCAGGCTGTCCCCAGCGTGGCTAACCCCCACCCTATGTACTTGCCCAAGGGTGTCTTTGCTTCCCAGGCCGTGGGGAGGAGAGGAAGGGGTGTTACGATGCTGTGTTTGTGCCTATCGGGTGTCACCACGCCAGCTGGAGCAGCGCTGCAGCCCGCAGAGCTAACCACAGTTATTTTAGCAGGCTGATATTTATGTTTGCCTCCCTGCCGCAGCGAGCCATCGCTTTCAGTCGCTCACGGTTTTAGCAATAACTGCTGCTCCAGGCCAGGCTAAATCCAGCCCTCCTGGGTTTGGGGCCGTTTGTTCTCACTCAACAGCAGCAAACAGGTAGTTTTGGAGAGAGGCATCAAAATAACTACTGTGGAGGGGGGATTGCTGCTGCTCAGACTGGGTTTGTGCTGCCAGGGAGGGGTCCCTGGCCCTGGAGGATGCACTGAGGTTGGGGTGGGACCTGGAAAGACCTGGCTTACCAGGCAGGCTCTGGCTCAGATCTTGTCCTTTAGCTCTTGGATTTTGTAGCTGAAGAGGAAAAAAAAAAAAAAAAAAAAAAAAAGGTCATGAACCAATTAATTTGTTTTTCTGGAGCAAAACTGGAGCCACGGGTTGCAAACGTCTCTGCCCTGGCCTCTATGTCCAGCACCAGTGCCTGCAGCTGGGGCTGCAGCCTTTTCCCCGTGCCATCTGCTCAGCTTTTGAGCTTGAAGCTGTGCAATAACTCAGTTATTTGATAAATCAGAGGAGCCAGATTGGGAAGGAAATCAGCCCTTTCCATATCTGTGATTTTCAGCAAACACAGCAGGACCAGGCCAGCAGAAACTGGAGCAAAACCACTTGTTTCCCCTCCCTGCTCGCCTTTATGCCTGTCCCAGCAGGGCTTGGTCTCATGCGTGGGGCTCTGATCTCGCCGGAGACCTCCCAAGCTCCTGGGATCAGTTTGCTCCGATCTCCAGGCGAAGTTCAAAGCTTTCCCTTCGTTCCTGCCTGCAGCCACGGGGTATTTAATGTGCGGCTGGCATTCCCCGCACGCCGGCGCCCTGGATGTGAACCGCTGCTTTTCAGCTCTGTCTGAAAAGGAGCCGTCTCGGGGCCTCGCCTCTTAATTGCGGAGGAGGTGAACATGAAAAAGCCTCTGGCTGCTTTTAATGCAAGCAAAGGCGGCCGCTCCGGAGGCAGAGCCTTCACCCGGGCATCCTCGCAGTGGGGTGGTACCCAAACCGGAGCTCTCATCCTGGGGATGGTGAGAAACCCTCTGCCTGGGGCTGTTCTCACTGCCCGGCTGGTTTTCAGGCTGGCAGGTCAGACAGGACACGGGGGGAAAGACCCTTTCTGGAAGCTGGTGGACAAGGAAAAGACCCTTTTTGGAAGCTGGTGACAGTGCTCCCAGAGGCTGGGAGCGTCGCTGCTTTCTAGACATTAGAACCTCAGGGATGCTGATGGGTCCTGCCAGAGCTGGGTGTGGGACCCTCCTACCAAACCACTACTTGCCTTTCTAGGCACTTGGTAGCCCCTCTGACTGCTTGTAGGGGTGCTCAGTGGTCCAAGGGCTTCGGCTGCAGGCGAGGAGCGCTCCTGCTCCTCTCTGTCTCAGCACCAGGCTGGATTGTGCAGTGGGGTGAGAGTAAAGCTGCATTTCCTCCTCACCCAAGGGCTTTGCTGGGCTCGGATGGGGCTGGAGGGGGGGATGGATGGGAGGAGCCGGTTCTCCGCTAACCTGATTAACCAGGTTAGTAACCAACCTTGCAAAAATCCAAACCGTCTCGCTGCAACCTCCTCCCGCCCTCCCAGGGCACGGCTGGTCCTGAGTGGGAACCCCCCCACCCAGCCTCACGCCCTGGCTCCCCTCCTGCATCCGAGAGCAGCCAGGCACGGTGGGGAGGTGGGATGCAACGGCGGGCATCGTGCCCCTGGCTCCCGGGACCGGGTAAGTGTCACCCCCTCGGAGCACCGCGGGCTGGTTTCGGCCTCGCTCCCCCTCCCCGGCGCACTCCAGTGTCCCCCCTCTGCCCGGGCAGCACGGCCACGGCTCTAGTGACACTTGCCATGAGTGTCTGGGGGTTTTTGGAGCATGAACTCATCGGGGATGCAAATGCTTCTTGGCCTGGTGCCAGCACAGGAGAGAAGTCGAAGCCCCAGAACAAACCACCAGAAATCCTGATGAAATCCTGTCAGAGGGCTTGGGGGAGGGAGGAGGGAGTGATTTCTCTACCCGAGCATCTGTCCTGGTGTCACAAGCAAGTGGTGCTGGTGTTTACCCGTGGCGGGGATACAGGGCTAAAAGCCAGCGATGGTGGGGAGGGGGCTGCTGTGCCCTGCAAGGGCTTGGCCATGGGGGTCTGGTCCCAGAGGAGACCCCCACCCCGCTACACTGTGGGGCTGGGTGTCCCCCACCCAACCCTACTTCAGCCTCGTGTGGCTGAGCTGGCTGGTAGTGGGAGCTACCAGCAGGTGCCAAAAATCAGAAAACGCCTCAAAACAAGTTTATTGATATTTAACCAGCTGCCACAATAGTTGCAAAGTAGGGGTGCCAGAGGGGGGCTCCACTCCCAGCCCCGATCTGGCTCCTCGGCCACGGGGGTGTCTGTGGGGAGCTGATAAAAAAATGCAGAATTAAAACCAGCAATGGTAAGTTCCCGCTTCCCCTTGCAGGCTGCTTCCAGCCCACCTCAGGGCTGCTTGGAAAGGTGAAGTAAAGCCGTGGTGGAGGTCAGGCAGGGGAAGTGGAGAGTTTTCTTGGCTCTCTGCATGCCCTGGGGCTTGGAAGAGCCAAAATGAGTCACTAACCCTCATCCCAATAAGCCTTTCCCAGCAGCTGTGGGCAGGAGGGATGCAGATTTCCCAGTAAAGTGATTTTTTGCCCAGAATCATTTTCAGCTGATTAAAAAAAGCAATGTCCTGCCATGGCAATCATCCACCTGCAAGCTCCCGGGGTGTCGGGGATGCCCAAACGGAGCAGGACCACGTGCTCCCCAGCAGCACCACTGCCACCGGCTGCTCGGCTCAGCCCCGAGGGAGGCAGCCCCGGGTGCAACGCTGCAGCCGAGCATCCCTTTATTTCCTGCGTGTGGGCTCGGGGTTTTCTCTGCAAACACCCACTGCCTTCACAAATAACAACCTGATTCCTTCCTCTCGTGACCTTCTCACCTGCAAACGTTTGCAGCGCTGACCCCGGGAGCGGAGAAACCAGGATGAGACACACACGCACACAGAGCCAGCAACAGGCTCCTTCTTTGCCCTCCCAAAAAGTTCCTCCCAAAACTCAGCGGCCGAGATTGAGTCACTGAAACGCCGTGACATCACAAGCGGTTTTTGCTACCGAGCAGCCGTGCTTCCTGTTATGCCCAGGCGCCTATAGATAAATACATACGCACGCATAGGTGCGTGCCTTTAGGGAGCAATCCAGTTCACTCTCCTTCCTCCCAGCATCGCTTCCCGCAACCCTCGCCTCTCTTTTTGCAGCGCCAGCGGCCAGGACCGGCGGTGGGGCTGGAGAGCTGGGTCCTGCTAAGAGGATGAAAACATGGGCCTCAAGTTATCCTGCCTGAAAGGTAGGTTTGGGTGGGTGCTGGGGTCTCTCCTGCTCCAGGAAGGCATCAGGGGGATGGTTGTGCATGGAGCAGCTTTAGGTGTTTTTGCTGCGGGCAGGATTGGTGTGGGTTGGCATCCTGGTGGCATTTAAGAAAGTCTCGCGGGTGAGCTGTTGCTCGTGCATTGCCCCAGAGCTGCTTTCCCCATCCCCTACCCCAGTCCTATAAAAACATAAAGGGTCCGGTTGGTCCTGTGCTTTCTCCTGCATCTGGAGGATCTTTGGGCTCATGGCATCCCTCAAGACATCAGTTTGGGGGTTCCTTAGAGGTGGGAAAGAGCCAGCATGGATGGGATGCTCGGGGGTACATGGATGGGATGCTTGGAGCCAGCCCGGAGGCCGGGACCTGGGGTACCCCAGCTCTGGGCTGACCCCAAGCATCCTTTATCCTTCATTGCTCTGCTCCCCCCAGCACTATTCCAACCCAGAAGCTTTCAATCCTGCTGCTTTCTCCCAAACTTTATTTTCTGTAACGGGGTTTGGCTGAGATATGTCTGCAGGGAGAGGAAAGCAGGAGCTTTTAGCGCTCCTGGCCTCGCTGCTCCGGGTGAGCAGGGTTAAGGCTGGATATTGCGTCTCCCATTAGCTCTGTGTCCCAGCGCTGACCCCTGAGCAGCTCATATTAATCATCCTCGGGGTCATTAGGGATGGAGCTAATGAGCATCCCTCTCAGATGCAGAGCTGCTTTTTCCCTGGCTTTTCCCAAGCCCAAACCCTACGTGAGATGCTGGCTGTGAGGGGCACAGCTGGGAATGCGTCACCCAATGTGCCCCCCTCCCATGTCAGAGATGCTGTGGGTGGGGTTGGGGGATTTGAGGGTCCCACAGACCCTCCCAGCCCAACCCAGGGACACGGGGTGACCAGAGAGGGGAAACAGAGGCAGGCAGAGAGTCCCCATCCTGCCTTACATCTTCCCCAAAGCCGGGACATAGCCCCGAAATAACCCCCCACCCCTCCAAACCTCTCCAACAAGCTTGGAGTCTGCAATAAAATAAAAGACACACACACCCCCCTGCCCTTTTCCAGCTCCCTTATGTAAGGCAGCGCTTTATCCTTAATTAAAAAGAGATTAAAAATATCAGTGTCTGTCCCCTCCGGGCATTTTCCTGCTTGGGAAGAGCTGAAACCTCCCTGGCTGCTGCCTGCGCCACGCGGGGCTTTTCTCCTGATTAAAAAAGCAGATTAAAGCGATCTGCTCCCCGGGGAGGCTTGGGGAGGAGGGGGGCTGCGGCCTCCGCCTCTATCAGACACCCCCAAATCCAGGATGGGGAGGAGGTGCGAGGCTGCAGCTGGCTGCTGGGAGTGGGTGTGGATTCTCTAGTGGCTCGTAAGGGGTTGAGCTGGACATGGAGGGAGGTGGGTGGGATGCTACAGCCCCACACCTGATCTTCTCCCCACCCCCCACCCCTTGGTCCCCCC